TTTACCAGGTTTTTTCAAACTGTGGAGCCACTGTTCCCTGGGTATCCTGGGAACAAGAATAGACTCATGTAGCCATACTTTGGGGAGCACTGAAAGCTCATAGCATGATATGTACAAACAATTTCCTCACCAAAGCAGTTTCTAGTTGTAACTTAATAAATGTTTTCCAATCTCTAGATATTATCTCAGAATTTAAGCTAATACAGAATGCATCATTCTAAGAATAAAATGTAAAAAATTAGGATCTTCCTTTCTTTTTTTTTCAAATAGTGTGGATTGGAATACTGTAGATGGAAGCCATGCCATTATCCTTACGTAACTTCTTTACAGTCCAGCCTGTCTGTATGATAATTTAACACTGAGAGGAGAGGCAGCAATGATAGGTGGCTAGCTCACTTAGGCTCTCACAAACCAGAGAAACCAGAAGAGAGACACTCATTTGCATTCTTTTGTCTCCTAATAGCAAAGAACTGTTGAATTGGGTAATTTAAACTCATTACACTTGCACATTTAGCTTCTGCATGCTCATATGCATAAGTAGTATAAGTGAACATGCTGGAGAAGGCTCTATTTTTTTTTTAGCAAATCTAAAGATAAAAGACAAATAAAAACACATTTAATTGAATAGCATTTCTTCTCTAAAAATTAGTGTGTTTTGAATGTGAAGCTTATGAGCTGAGGAAAAATAATTTTTCCAGAGTTTTCTAGCTCTCAGTCAATTGTATTTAAGCATGTTATGTGATGGTTTGCATAGTGATATTGACAGTCACTGTGAATAAATGATCAACACTGGAATAAAATCAAATCCATCTTCATAATATCAAGAACATTAAAAGGAATCAGACATGATAATCTCATCAAGGACATTAAAAGAAATCGGACATGACAATCTCAAATTGCTACTGAGGTAGGTTATTGTTCCTGCTGGCTTTGCTTTATGTGCAGGGCTCATATTATGATGGAGAGGATGACGAGCCTCCATTAGGTATGTGTGCATCTCTGAGTGTGAGAAGCAATTTCACTGCAGTTGGTTGCCTGACAAGTATGAGATAATTTTAGTGACGAAAAAAAATTAGGCTGTCAAATACTTTTCTTTATCCAAAATTGCTTTTGAGCTGTCTGCCCTGCACGTCACTGCCATTAAATCTGGGATTACAGTGGCCTGAATTCATCTAGCCAGTGACCAGAGCAGCCTCACAGTGTGGCAAAAATAGTCTTTGTGTTTTGTGTTTTTTTGATCAAATCAAACCATAATTTTCATATATAAAGAGCAGCACAAATTTAAACTACAGTTAATGTTCTAGAGATGGGACCAATTTCTGTTCCTTCAGGCATGGGACTCAATAATCTCAGATGACCTAAGCAAGGACCTTCAGACTCAACGGCCCCTCATCACAAACACTGGTGTTCACTGCCACCCACAGGTGATTCCAAGAAATTCTGGTGAGAGTCATTTATACCACTACTGCCCTAAGAAACAAATGTTGTAATTGCTCTGGAGCACTTGAAGGTGACAGTTTAAAAATAAATAAATAAATAAATAAATAAATAAATAAATAAATAAAAAGTAAATGATTTCCTTTCACCTAATGTTTCATTCATCATACAAACTTACTTATCTTCTGTAACCAAGCCTCTTTTTGGAAGTGTAGAGTAATCCATAATGAAACCCTTTGGGTCAGAAAGGCTTACTTCCAGGAACAGCAGGGGGTAGAAATTAGGCAACTATTATCTGGATGCCCATAAAAAAGATACTGACTAGAGTTGACACTAAAAAGTGTCAGCTTCCTGGAAGGAGGAGGCTGTAAGTCAGGCAGGATTTCTCTGTCCTGCTGAAGAACTTGAGCCAGCACAGCTGCAAAGGGAGGAGCAGAATCTTTCAGGGAAGAGTCCCAGACAGGAGCTAGAAAGGTGATGTTTATAGATGCACACAGTCACACCAAACCTCCATTTCACCACAACACTGCAGCCAGGAAAGGCAGAGATTGAAGCCAGTAATTCTGTTTAAACGTGTGTGCGTGTGTGATATTTTAAATATAGAGCACACTCTTTTAATATAAAAATCACAAATATGATATTTAAATATATAACTATTATAAATATCATATTGAAATATGTAGCTATACATTGTAGGAAAAATATATATGCTCACTCTAATTTTCATAGCCTCTGAAATGTACCTGGTAAGAGCATGCATTCAAACCTTTCTGTATGCTTCCCTAGGGACATGTTTCTCTTTCCTCTTGCATTAAGTGCTGTTAACTGAAGGAATTGGGAAAGCTGTAGGTAGCTAAGAACAAAGGAACAAGTACTAGGCCAGTGAGAAAAGTATTGGAGCTTGAGCTGGTGGCAGCTATAGCCTTGGAGCTCAGTTCAAAATGGTACAAACAACAACATATACATACACATGAAGAAGAATCAGGAAAGTGGATATGGTAAGTCAGAACCATGCTGACATCTCTAGGGGCTACATTAAGTGTCATAACTGAAGATTTAGGTTGATGAAACTCATAGATGGCCAGCAAGATCCATTGCAGCCTCATCACCTTCTGGGGAATAAAAGTGCTGGGTGGAGACTCCAATGTTCCACCTTTTTCTGAAGGCTGCTTGAGAAATAGGTCTTGATCTTCATAGTCTTTGAGAGCTAAGAGAACTCAACAAGCATAGGACACATTGAAGTTGCTTAAAACAATGCGGGTGGCTTAGACCAGTGTGATGAGGTTCAGAGTGTCTAATCAGGAAGTTTAATGAACATGGACAGATCTTGAAGACTGGAAGACAGTTACAGTATGATCTTCAATGTCATCCAAAGGCTTATGTGCTAAAAACCTGATCCCTGGGGTGATATATTGGGGAGGTACTTAAGGGAAGTACTTAGGTCTTTGAAGGGAAGCCCTTGAAAGAAATTTGAGGATCCACCTACTTCCTTTTTCTCTTTGCTCTCTGTCTTGTGATGTGGATATTTTTGTTCTGCCATGCATTCTAGGAGGAAATGTCATCTTGTTATAGACCCAAAGAAACTTGAGTGATCCCAGACTATACAACCTTGAAAAGATTTTGTCTGAAAAGTATTTTTTTTATTCATAAGTTGGTTATGTCAAATATTTTGTTATAGTGACAGAAAACCAAATACAGAAACAATGCGATGTGTAAGGTATTTGCCAATATAAATGAATGAATGAATGAATGAATGAATGAATGAATGATATAGATAAATAGATTGATAGATGGATAGATAGATAGATAGATAGATAGATAGATGATAGATAGATAGATAGATAGATAGATAAGGAAATAATAAAGAAAATAATTAAATATGTTTAAAAATGGGATGAGATAAAAACAGACTCAAATGAAATGAAGCTGCATGACTTACCTACCAATATCTTCAAAATAACCACTATAAACATGTTCATAAAAGTAACACATGAACAAAGTAAAATTTTAACAGAGACAGAACATACAAAAGAATACTACACATAAACAGCAGAGTGAAGGACTACAGCACCTGACCTCAAAACTTAAATAAAGTGAATCAAGAACAGACTAGAAAAAATACACAAAATAATTGGTAAAACTGAAGATATGTCATGGGAAATTATTCCACTAAAGTTGAAAAAACAGACACAAAAGAATGAGAGTAACATACATTTAATATATTTATAAGACACCATCAAGTAGACCAACATGATGAAAGTTCAGATGACAAAAAGGACTATGAAATGTCCAAACGTGGTGGAAAAGATGAACAAAAAGACCCAGGACACCAAAACAACCCCCGACTCTCAAACCACAAAGAAATTCATGCCAAAACACATTGGAAGTAAGCTATCAAAGCCAAAGAACAAAGAGATGTTTGAAAGCAGAAAGAATAAAAGTGACTTAAGTACATCTAATGTCCGAGTCATGGCAGAATAGTTAATGAATTGATTCTGGGAGCTTAGCAGGCCTGAATGACCTTCTCAGGCACTTAGACAAGTGCTAGGGTATCCAAGATTGAATAACCCCTACCTTTCCAGCTTAATCTCAAAGAGGACAGTCTGTTTTCAAAAATGAAACCTTGAACAGAGGTCTTGCAGAGGTCTGTAATCCCAGCCACTTTGATGACTAAAGTGGGATGATCACAGGATCAAGAGCAGCCTGTAGAGGAAGTTCATACAGGGTAGCCTGGGCTAATTAGTGAGATCTTATGTCAAAATGAAAAAGAAAATGAGACCTAGAAATACAGTCCAATGCAGGGCTCTAGGGTGCAGAAAGAGATTCAATGAAGAGTGTCAAGTCATATGAGCATAGAGAAAAAAGAAGGCAGGTAGTAAAGCTCCAACTTAATATATAGGGACTAGAAAATTAGTGAGTGGAACCCAGGAATATCCATAAGATTTTAGAAGTGTGCACCTAATGTATTTTGATTTGACCAGTTAGTCAAGTCATTTTCCTCCTCATGTGGTCTGTACCATGAAACCTGGTACTATGAGCATCCATCGTAGATCAGGGTGAGCTGGTCAAGTGTGAAGACACAACTGACTTACAACTCCAGTGTTCTGAATGAGTAGAGACCATATAGATGATAGACTAAGATGACTGAACTTACCAGAGTCTACAAGAGAGTCAGCATAGCACTACAGTAAAAAAAATCCACTGACTGAGTACTCAAAACTGGGAGGCTTATAACCTAATTTATAAAAAACACAGGGGAGAGTTAAGAGAACTCTGGTAAGAGAGGCTACTAACAAAGATCTAAGAAAACACTTGCACAGCAGAGGTACACATTCTAGACTGTTCAGTGTCTTCACACATGACCAGCTTATCCTGGTTTCTGATAGATGTTCCCAGCACCACTTCTTGGGGTACAGATGACATACAGAAGGATAATACACACTCAGAGTCTCCAGATAAACCGTAATCCATCACATGCACTTGCAGATTGAGCCCAATTCTGAATGAATGTGGATTTGACCCCAGAATACACTCACAGCACTTAACATATGAATATAACTTACAACTGCCAAATTTCAGGGGACAAGCGTGGGCATCCATCGGGAAGTCCTCAAGCTGCATTGGGCACTCAGCAGATATTGTCAGGCTGAAAAGTAAAAGAGATGGTTAAAAGGGCCCTCCGCCTCCTCCCACAAAGAGGTTTGTATTAAAAATTTGATGAGTGTTTTTATGAAATTGGCTAACTGTTCCCACTAAATTACATGTTTGTGCTGAAGGAAGCCTCATTGAGAGTAAAGGTGTGACTCCAAAGCACTCAGAAGCCCTGTGGCCTGATGGGTGTGCCTATATTATCACTCATAATGCCATCTACGGTGCTTTTTCAATGATGAATTGCCACTTCCTACCCCTTGCTCTTCATCGTCTAACATGCTGTCTCTCACAGGACTAAAAATACATTTATTTTATTAAAAATAAATGGATTCAAAAATATTAATGTAAGGTAAATTTACAATCAAATCTTTACCAGACTCTGCTTTTTTCATTGCTTAATGGTCCAGAAAGGAACTTGAATTGCAATAGCAATTTTCTGGCACAATCTGATTATTAGTTTTTAAATTCAAATCTAGTCTTACATATTAGAATTTCCCCAGCCACAAGGCTGATGGCTGTGGTTGGTTGCTCATGCCACAACAGGCATTGTGTGAGTGCTCTGGGTACATTAGCCCCCATCACCACAGTAGCATATGGAGGTCTACCACAGATACTACATCATATTCCAGATGGAAGCAAGGCCCAGAATGTAGATTTACTCAGTGGCAGAGCCATGAGTGGAGCTCAAGCTGCTGGCCTCCATCTATAGAGAGGCTCCTATAGCATCTAGCACCTACCCTGTGACTGCAGGCTCTGCTCTGTAAAATGATATAGTACCGCTCCACAGTGTGTGGTTGCTGAGGCCCATCCATGGTGAAGTGGGATCACCAGAGGTTTATGTGCTAGAAGTCTTTAGAGTAGTACTGTAGAGTTAGTAGAGCCTTTAAGAGGTGAGATCCTATAGGTGGTGACTAGTCACTCAAGGAACCACTCTAGAAGGATTGATGTAATTCTTGAAGAGCTCTAATATTTCCTTCAAGAGTAAGTTGTTACAAATACCAAGCTAGCTTCTGGTTTCCTTTGGTTTCCCATCTCACCATGGGTTTCTTCCACACATGCTCCAGCTACTGTTATATCATCACCACAAAGACCTCATTAGAGAGGTGACACAAATTACCAAGAATGTTTCAGCTTCCACAACAAGGGCTAAATAAGTCTCTTTTCTCTTTATGTTACTGAGCATCTGGCATTGTGTTGGACAATACAAAACAATAATACACATGCTTTTGTGTCTCTACAGAGATTTTGCTAATTTGGCAAAATTCTAAATTGCACTAATGAGGTTTTTTTTTGTTTCTTTTGCTCTTTTCCATTATTTAAAATTAAATTAATTACACAAGATGAAATAAAAATATGAAACATTTGACTTCTTCTGTAGTCCTACTTTTAGAGCATAAAATAAATAGCTAACTGTTGTCCATTGCTTGCCATATTAAGCAGAGATGCTGTTCATGCTCACAGGATGCAAATAAAAATGCAAAAACATTCATTTTTTGCTTTTACAACTTCCTTTTGTTAAAACAGATTAGTCTGTTGTTAAATTGGTAACATAAATCACAGGTGACCACTGCAGCCTAAATAGCCAATCCAGCAATTCTCTGAGTAAGCAGGATGAAAATGCATGCACATCAATATGAGGAAATTCTTTGACAATGTTCTTCAGGACAGTGCCTGGGGAAGGAGTGAGTCACCAAGGGCCATGAGTACAGGGCGACCAGAAATGCTACCAGTTCTCATTTTCAAGTTGACATGCAGAGATGGCATTGAAAGGGGTATTATGCATACACTTGTAGAACAGAGAATGCATATACATCATATACATATATATGTACATATATATATGCAAATATTCTGATATGTCTCATTCACTTGGTATATCATCTAGAACACTTCATTTAGGGTTTTGCTATATGTGTACCTACTGTCTTCTGAGCCTTGGTATAAAAATGCATCTTCTACAAATTCAAGCAGAACTGTCTCCCACATCACAAAAAATCTCACAGTTATGACTTTGAAAAACTAACTTTAAAACTCAAATGTGTATTATGTGCATATCTGTCAGCATAGCTCATAACCAGCTGACTGTCTTTAAATTTTTAGTATTTTACAGGATTGTTAACTGAAACGAATGCCTTCAGCTACAAACTATGAAAGAGGGATAGTATTCAAGACTGTGGAATGGCAATGTAAACAGAGATTAACTTATCAGAATTAGGAAAATAAGAACTTAAAAAGCACCACCTTTGAGAATAGCATCCAGCCATCGTAAAGATACTATCTATGATTGTTAGTAAATTTAGTAAATTATTAGGGAAAGCAACAATGAACAGAGAGGCTCCATAATGGAACCAGAAGCCTTATGACACAGCAACAGCACTAAGGAACATGACAATGAGCATAGGAATGGAGAGGATTGTGGGAGTTGTATGCCCCTGTGGCTTCCACTCTGCCATACAGCACAAAAGGCTTCAACTAGCAGACTCAGCTCTTTATCACCTCTTAATGCCATGAGCAACTTCATGCCCCTTTTCCCTTTCCAACAGGGCAAATCTAGAGATGATGGCAATGGCAGGACCTCTCTCTCTGGTTGGATCCACGTTGACCATCTCTCTTAACTGGTCCTGACTCCAACAAACTCTTAGCTTCCAATTGGTGTGCAGACTGCCTAGAAGCTGAGTCTCTAGCTTAATTGCAGGCATGGTGAATGTTATAGTCCCGTTCCTCATCCCTCGGTGCTGGTTTGATTTTGTTTACATGGCTCCTGTGGATCTAGAACTTAGTAACTCTGTGGTTTATCTCCAATTGACAAAATAAACCCCATAGCAACAAAACTCCTACCTAGGGCACTCTGTTCATCCCTGGTGTATATTTCTTCTCTGCCGCTGGCCAAGATCAGGCACATAAATGAGGACCAGAGTGCCCTGCTTACCTCTGTGGGCTTCACTGCAGATTCCTGTCCCTGAGAGCTGCCTACCTGCAGGATATCACTGTACTAGCACAGTTATTATTCTGGCAAGAGATGTTCAACAGGAGTCATCTTCTAGCATATTGTGAGAGTGAGAATGTCACATAAATACAGCAAGGGGCAGAGGACTATGGAAAATGTGTGCAGAGACCACACATAGCTACATAGAATTTAGCTAGTATGTTTACAAGACTGTAAAAATGGTTCCAGCAAAACTATAAACAACAGTAGCTTGTATAATACAGCTATTATCTTAGTAACTAGTCATACCTATTTGTATAAAGTGCCTCATAATCATTCTGAAGCCTTAGGATAACTACTTTACCAGTGATAGACTCTCTCCTCTAGCAGACATCAACGGTTCTGAATCCCTCAAGAGCAAATGCTTCAGTTTTAGTAATAAATTAACTTTTCTGCTCTCTTTATACATTGCACAAATGGCCTCAGCTTTTCTAGATAGATGAATTCTTCTGATTTGAGCTTCTAGACAGAGTACACTGTCAGGTAACTAACCTCCACATGGAATTCAGCACACACCCTTTTGTGAAAAGGATGACTGTCACAGACCAAAAGAGCTACCCAAGTCACATATACAAAGCCTTCATGGCTTTAACTGTAGTCAGTAAGGCTCAGAGGAATCAGAATTCTGATTTTGGCAGAAATTCATGAATTACTGGAAGATACAGGCACATGGTATTTGTTTTCCAAAGGTCCAATTTCTGTTTTACTTATACATTCTGCTAAGACAATTCAAGCATTAACAAATAGGACATAATGTCTGTACAACAACTTAATTTACAATAAGGAAAAGGGCACTTCGCAAGTGGAGATCATTGTTTCTCATTGGTTTCATGTCACAACTGAGATCTTAGGATCCCAAACTCACTAGAGAGCTTCCAGTTTGGCCAGAGGTCCCCTTGAAGGTAGACAATAGTTTAAAGTAGTCTATACAATCAAATCCCAGAGGATACCTTTTATTAACTGTGTGATATTTATAAAAAGGCCTAACTTCTTTAATTCAGTCTTCCCATTTGGTAAAGAAAGAAAATAGGTGATTGTATACTCAGAAAAACATAGATAGATATGATAGGTTAAAAAGGATTGACAGGAAAAAAAAAAGGATTGACTGAGGTAGGAAGTTTAATGGCAGCAAGGTGACTAAAGATTGAAGACTTTCTTGTTTCCATGGCAATGCTACAGCAGAAGATGTGCTGAGAATAGGCATACTGGATTGTAAACGTCAAAAAAAAAAACTGCACAACTTTCCCAGACCTAGAACTACCCACTTCATATGGCAAAAGACTATTTGCAGATACAATTAATGTAAGGGGCTCAGAGTGGGGAAATTGCCCTAGATTGATTAAGTAGAGCAATGTAATCCCATGACTTTTTACAGGAGAAATGAAAGAGTGGGGGTCTCAGAGGAGATGCAGAGACAGAAGCAGACAGGAGAATGATAAAGCCTCCAGTCTAGAAATGCAAGTGTCAAAAGAACACACATGGTATTCACTCACTGATTATTGGATATTAGCCTAGAACCTTGAAATGCCCAAGATGCAACTCACAGGCCACATGAAGCCCATAAAGAAGGAAGACCAAGTGAGGGTGATTCGGGCCTTCTTAGAAGGAGCAACAAAATACTCAAGGGAGCAAATATGGAGACAAAGTGAGGGACAGAAACTGAAGGAGGGGCCGTCTGAAGACCACTCCACCTGAGTATCTATCCCATGTGCAATCACCAAAGGTAGATGCTGATGTGGAAGACAGGAAGTGCATGCTGATAAGAGCCTGATATGGGTATCTCCTCAAAGGCCTTCAAGAGTCAGACATATTCAGAGGCAGATGCTCACAACTAGCCATTGAACTGATCATGGGGTTCTCAATAGAGGAGTTAGAGTGAAGACTGAAAGAGCTGAAAGGATTTACGGCACCATGAGGAGAGCAACAATACCAACCAACCACAGCTCCCAGGGTCTAAACCACCAGCCTGGGAGCACTTAGGGGGGGATCCAGGGCTTCAGCTGAATATG